AAAAAAAGACACTTCCTAGGATGTCTAATGAGCTTCACATTACTAAATCCTATGCTCTTTTCAGTCCTCGTCTTACTTATTTCATGGCAACATTTCAGTTTATCCTCTGTCCTGAATCACTCTTCACTTGGTTTCTATCACATGACACTCTCCAGATCATCTTATTTTTTTGTCCATAAATTCTTGATCTCCTTTGCACTTTAACTTCTACTCAGCTTGTAACATATAGAGTTCCTAATGGCTCAGTCCTAGCCCTTCTTGTTTCCTCTCAGAATCTTGAAAAGATGGTCCTCAGGGATTATGAAATAGTTCAAAGGCATTTTCAGGGGCAAAGTAATGAAAGAAATTTGTCTACATACGTTTTGAAAAGTTCAAATGTAAGATTAATGATGATCTGCATGAAAATTTCTTTTTTTTTTTAAGTTACCATTCACTATAATATCCCCTTATATTCACTCTCTGTTGATACTTTCAGATCAGCTATAGTTAGCATTTACTTAAATATAATAGTATAAAACCCAAGTAAACTTTCAGATTATTTTCACAAAACCCCGAAGTCCATTTGCTGTGTTGATAAGGATAAAGAAGAAACCAAGAGAAAAGAGGCATTCCTCAGCTAAAACAGGTAAAAATTCTTGATACTGCTGAGAAGCTAGTCAATTCAAATTTAATGCCTGGGAAGAAACAAGCTATTGACAAAATTTCTTTATTAAACGATTCTACTGGATGTCATATATTATCATGGAACACAATGTAGAAGAGCAATTACTATCACATGAGTGTTTCAGCATATATTTTGTTTTACAATTGGATAAATTACCTGTGGAGAAAATATAAATCAGTCCTTGACATATATATAATATATGATAAGGTGAAAGTACTCAAGAACTTTTTATTCTGCATTTCAGTGAAAACTTATAGTACAGGGAAGACAGTTTTTATTTAGACGATACTTTTGTGAGCTACAACATAAGGTGAAAAGTTGGAACATATTCAAAATTGACAAAGCATGAAGTATATAAATAGCAAAAACATACACTTTTATATGAAACAGGAGTCAACAATATGCCTCCTGATTATAACTGAGTGTTGAAGGAAATAATGGAAAGTAAATATCATCAAATATTGCCTATTCAGAGTATGTGCTCTCAGATGTTGTGGAGGGAAATGGCAGCATTTGCAAGATTATTCTTCCCACTCAAGTTTGCTGGCTGTCAAGGAAAAAAGTGGTGACAATTTTCTAATATGAAGGATGAGATTAAAAATATTCTTTATAATGCCAACAATATCAAAAAGTAATTCTATGTTTTCTAGAGGCCTGCTTAAGTGGAGTATAGCAGAAATATATCTAGAATTTTACATAGCATGAAACTACTACTTCAGGAACAAAATACCCTGATTTTTAATGCTTAGATTAAAATATCACATTTTTCAAAGTCACCAAGCTATGTTGCAAACAGCTCAATTGCTAGGATGTGATTCCTTCCCAAAACCTGATGGTTTTCTTCACTCATCAGAGTGAGACCGATTATACTACTGTGTGTATAAAGAACACAACTAAATGTTAAAATAAAACATGGGAAAATACTTTACAGATACTGACGAAGTAAAAAAATAAGTTAAGAATCCACTTGTTCCTGTCTTCCAAACATTCAGGCTGGTTGAAACATTCACCCCTATAATTGTTTAATATTATAAGCTTGTCAATCAAGCAACTGAAACAGCACAAGATATAATCTTCAGGGAGAAATCTTCTGAGAATCTCTCAGTCTGTGTTTGACCTTGCTATTCCAAAACATCTGACAGAGTCAGCAAACACAAGTTGCAAGTCCTGACAATCTACAATTGTGGCATAAAATTTCCTAATTTAGTAAACATATAGGGTAAAAAAAATCAAAATGTCTAGATCTAACCTACATCTCAAACTATGCATCATCAAATTAAAAACAAGTACTTTGTAAAAAGCTGCAAAAATAAAAAAAAATTATCCTTCTTAATGACAATAAAAACATTAATTTCTAAAATACTGCTTTACTAGGGGCCAGGCACAGTGGCTCATGACTGATTACAACTTTGAGAGGCCATGGCAGGCGATCACTTGAGGTCAGGAGTTTGGCCAACATGGTAAAACCCTGTCTCTACTAAAACAAAAATTAGCCAGGCATGATAGTACACACCTGTAGTCCTAGCTACTCAGGAGGCTGAGGCACGAGAATCACCTGAATCCAGGAGGCAGAGGTTGCAATGAGCCGAGATTGTGCCACACTGCACTCCAGCCTGGGTGACAGACTATCTAAAGTTGCTAAGGCCTGAATTTCAATTTCTAGCCCAGCCTTCTTCTCTGAGCTCCAGGCTTACTTACCTAACCAACTGCCTTCCAAACTTTACCACTTGATGTCTCATTGGCACATTAAACATAGTGGGTCCAAAACCAAACTCTTGCTATCTTCCATATAGCTTTCCATTTTCCAAGCTCACTGAAAACATCTTATTCCTGGCTGCCTATGCCAGAAAGCTAAGTCATCACCTAAGATGCAGCTTGAATTGATCTCTCTCTCCTCCTACTACTACCCACATAGTCCAAGTCACCTTCATCTCTACCCTGGACTATATTATAACCTCCTAATTAGTCTTCCTACAGCCCCTTATACCTCTTAGCATTAGTTTTCTATTGCTGCTAGAAGAAATTACCACAAACACAATGGCTTAAATACAACATTCATTTTTTGTTTACATTTCTGTAGAAATCTTACATGGATCTCAATGGGCTAAAATCAAGGTGAGTTTGATGCCCTTCTGAAGGTTGTAGGAGAGAATCTATTGGTTTTTCAAGCTTCTAGAAGCTACCCACATACCTTGGATTGTGACCTCCTTCCTTCATCTCCAAAACTAGCCATGTTGTATCTCTTTGACCATGTCTTTTGTCCCCATGTTCTACTTTTAAGGACCCTTGTGATTACTTTGAGACCCCTTTGCCTCCCCTTTGCCATGTAACTTAACATACTGACAGATTCTGGGAATTAGGATGTGGGTATCATTGGGAGGCCATTATTATGTCAACCATATTTTCTAATACATAAACTCATTTTCCACACAGTAGCCAGAGCAATCTTTTTAAAAACATAAATATGTTCATGACACTTCCTTCAATGTGTTACCACTCCTCTAAGGATAAAGTTCAAAATCCTAAACACGTGCCACAAATCCATGCATGGCCTGGTGCCTACCCCCTAGGCTTGTCCTCTGGCTCACTGTGTCCCAGCCACATAGGCTTCTCTATTTTTCTCAAGCACCAAGCTCCTTTCTGCCTCAGGATCTTTGCTCACACTCTCCCTGCTGTCTGAACAGCCCTCCCCACCTTCCAGGAAACCTTTCCCTGGTTAACGCTTGCTTAACCCTTCAGATCTCCATAAAAGTTAGTTTCACAGGGTGGCCTTCCTGATTGCCCCGTCTAGTACGAGCTCCCCCTACACTGTCATAGTACTCTTTTCCCTTCATATCTTTTTATCACAATTTGAATTAAATGTTATTTGTGTAATTATTTGTTTAATGTCTGCCTGCCTGCACCAGACTACATCATAAAGGCTGGGGCCTAGTCTGTTCTGTTCACCACTGTAAACCTTGGGACTTCACACCAACTAGCTTATAATAGGTGCTCAATAAATAAGTGAGTGCCATTGCATGTTACTCTATGACCAGCAGGCAAGTGGAGTATATGCAGTGTGGATATGCTGGACAAAAGGATGATTTGTGGCCCCAGGAAGGACCGAGCACAGTGGTGTGGGACTTTATCACACGACACAGTACAGTATGCAACTTACTAGTTATTAATTGTTCATTTCTGGAATTTTCCATTTCGTATTTTCAGACAGCAGCTGACTTCTAGTAACTGAAGTTGTGGAAAGTGAAACACAGAAAGCGAAACTAAAAGAAACTAACAAATTACTACAGAAACCCACATGTAGAATGTTGATTTTTAAAACCAAACTGTGCTTATTGATAGCATTCGTGTGCTCATAGAAAGAAAAACAGTATTAGTAGTAACAAAATACAGTAGCAATGAGATAAATGTCTTATTTGGGTGGCAAAAGAAGAATGTGGGATGATCTGTGGAGGGTTCCCCAGTTTTAACAAAAGTCAGCCTGCTCTGCTAAAATCTAGCAAAATCACACAGGTGATTTCAAAGAAACTAATTTCTTAAAAAGAAATGAGATGATATAACAAACCAAGTATATAAAACATTCATTAATGCTTTTATAATTCTCACAAACATACAAATAATCCAACAGCAAATTCTGACATTATGTGTGATGAGGAGGGACAAAGAGATTGGAAGGCCTCAGAAGCAGCCTCGGGAAAGTCTCCCTCTGATCTTCTCTTGCCCTTCTGTCTCCTGCCAATCTTTCGTCCCTGAAGTGAGTCTCTGAAACCAGAATTCCTCTTCCCCAAAGTGAGTGAGAGAAAACTATAATCCCTCTCCTACAAAGCAAGCCATAAAAACTGGTACTGTAATATTTCCCTGCCGTTCTCTGTAGTAACTGGCCATAAAGAAATTCTCTAACCTACCTTGCCTTAGAGTAGGTCGTTGAGACCCTCATTCCAGATGGGTCCTTCCTCCTCCATAGGAGGAATGATACAGAGAGGCCAAGAAGAATCTGAACAAACAGACCTTGCTAGGTTTCCTCCCTCAGTTTATTAACATTAGAGCATATCCTTAGTCCAATCACATTTTTACACAGCTGTCTATTCTTCATGGGTCCTACGCATAAAAATAGAGATTTCCCTGGTCTCTGAAGCCCGATGATGTAAAACTCTGATTAGATTTGCTATGCTTTTACCTTGTTAACCTGTCTTCTGTTTTACGAGTGGTGGCTGTGATCCTTATAATGGGTGGGTGGTGAGGAAAGGTATTACACTTTTCCGACCCCACGTTGCACTTTAAATAAATAAATGTGTAAAAGCAAAGCAGATAAAAATACATGAAGTCATAATAAAAATACCAGAGTCAACCAAGGAAGGCGGACTTGCAGTTGAAATGTTCCAGAACCTCACTGAACGAAAACATCTAAGAACGTCGCCGTCTAGAGTTCGTAGAGTCCATCCTCCAAGTTTTAAACGGCTATCCACCAAGAAAGGAACAGAACCGACCGCTCCTCTTAGGCCCATTCAAGACAAGGGGGTCGAATTCCCTTGCTTTAAACGGGTGGGACTGGCAGGTAAACCTGAGGCAAATGACTGACTACAGGTTCCAAGGCCAGTTACTCCAATTAGTCTTTAAAAACGGTGAAGGGACTCGGGAGGTTGAGGCAATAGAATTGCTAGAACCCGGGAGACGGAGGTTGCGGTGAGCCGAGACTGCGCCACTGCACTCCAGCCTGAGCGACAGAGCGAGACTCCGTCTCAAAAACAACAACAACCAAAAAAAACGGTGAAGGGATGAAGGCTGAAACACCACAGGAAATAAAATAAATAATCGTAACAAGAAAACAGTAAAGCACTGGAGAATTCCACTGCTTAAAAAGGTGCAGACCGCACAGGCCAAAAGGCCCGGGAACTCTGGTGCCGGAACTCAACACCCAGACAGAAGCCGGCACTGGGAGGCAGTTCCGGTAGCCCCCTCCCGCCCCTCTCTCATCAACCCCGCCCACTGGGCCCGCCCCGTCCCGCTCGACTACTCACTGGATTCGCTTCCCACATAACGGTGACAAAATCAAGCGGAGAGAGCCTGTGGGAAGGGACTACGCGCGGGCCCTAAGTGTTGGATTTTTTTCTTCCGCGGGTCCCAGGGAGCGAAGGGACGGAGAAGCAACCTTTACGAAAGCCTTCCTTCTCCCCCGCCCCGTCACAAGCCACTGTCTTCGGACCACCCAACCTCCCGACTTCCGCCCGACGCTGGCCAATCAGAGCTGTCCCCGCCCCACTCCCACAGGCTCGCCCCGCCCCTACGCGTTTTTCCGTAGGCTTATCGTCGTGGGCGGGGCTTACGAGTAACTGGCTTATGAAGCAGTTTAAAGTGTTTCTTTTCTTTTTTTTTTTTTTTGAGATGGAGTTTCGCTCTTGTTACCCAGGCTGGAGTGCAATGGCGCGATCTCGGCTCACCGCAACCTCCGCCTCCTGGGTTCAGGCAATTCTCCTGCCTCAGCCTCCTGCGTAGCTGGGATTACAGGCACGCGCCACCATGCCCAGCTAATTTTTTGTATTTTTAGTAGAGACGGGGTTTCACCATGTTGACCAGGATGGTCTCGATCTCTGGACCTCGTGATCCACCCGCCTCAGCCTCCCAAAGTGCCGGGATTACAGGCTTGAGCCACCGCGCCCAGCCCGGAGTTTAAAGGGTTTCTGGTTCAGCTATACCACCCAGTGATCCTCAAGCTATAGCTAGCTGTATTTCTTTCCTATTAACCAATTTTTATTGCTGACGTGTAGCGGCCAAGAGTCACACAGGCCTGCCAATGGCATTTGGGAGAAACTTCAGAATCTTTAAATATCTTTATTCTTGAAATGGAGATGGTAGTAATAACAGTATCTCCCTAAGGGTGTACTGAGATTATTGAAAGCATTTAACACAGTATTTGGCACACACAGTTCAATAAGTGACAGTTATTTGCTCACAAAAAAACCTTCAGATACGGTCGCTACCCTCGCGAATTGTATAATCTAGAAAAGAAAGCAAAAAATAAGTAATGTAGGAAAGTTAAAAAATGCAATATGATTTATAAGTAATACGGTGAGTAGAGCTCTATGCGAGCATTTTTACCTAGGGTAGAGTGTCAGGAAAACTCCCTCCAGAAGTTTAAGCTAAAACCATGAGGATATATTTCTACTGATGTAAAGAGATCTAACAGAGTGAAATAATATTCCATGCCACAAAGGATCTACCCCACAGGAAATGAAAATAAAATAGCTTGTTATAGATCCTTCTGGACTTTTCTATGCCTCTACACATTAAAAAAAGAAATGTGATCAAAGAATACCTATAGATTTAGAACCTGATTTTCTTTTTCACCTTAAAGATGATGTGGATATCCTTCCATTCCATTAAGTATAAATCTATTTCATCATTTTATTTATTTACTTAAATTTAGATGAAGTCTGGCCCTGTCACCCAGGCTGGTGTGCAGTGGCATGATCTCGGCTCACCGCAACCTCCGCCTCCCAGGTTCAAGTGATTCCCCTGCCTCAGCCTCTTGAGTAGCTGGGATTACAGGCACCCGCAACCAGGTCCACCTAATTTCTGTAATTTTTGTGGAGACAGGTTTTCACCATGTTGGCCAGGCTGGTCTCAAACTCCTGACTCCCGGTGATCCGCTGCCTCGGCCTCCCAAAGTGCTGGGATTACAAGTGTGAGCCATCTGGTGCCTGGGCATTCCATAATTTCTGTGTATGCTATGTACACACAAACACACACATTTGAAATAATCTGCATAGACATGTAAGTGGTTTTCTATTTTTCACTATTCCAAAAAAAATGCTTCAACAGGCATTTCTTCACATTTGTCCATTTAGTTCCTTGGAATTAATTCTTGGAAATAAAATTGTTGAATAGGAGATTATTTTTGCCAAACGGTTAACCAGTTGCTCCATTGTCATTTATTGAATAATCCATTCTTTCCTCGTTACTTTGAAGTGCCACTGTTAATTACAATCTAAATTTGCATTTACATACACATATGTATATATACACGATATATCTGTTTCTGAACATTCTCATCTATTAATTATCTGCTTATTCCTATGCTATGCCACAGTTATAATCATTACATCTTTACATATTTGCCTTTTCATAAAGGAACCTCTCTCCTAATTTTCTTCTTTTTCACAATTTTCAATATCATGAGGCTTCCCATTCAGAAATATTTCTCTTCTATATCTTTAGATATGCTTTTTTAAAAATTTCAGATCTGCATCAGAATCTGTAAAAAAAAATGTTTTCACAGAGATTTGCATAATCCTTGGGAAGTTTGTTCCTAGATATTTTACAGTTTTTTTTGTGAATGGGATATTTCTCATTGCTATAATTTAGGAAAGCTATTGATTTTTGTTTATTTGCCTTGTATTCTACCACCCTGTGAAAAAATGTCTTATTAGTTCTAATGGCTTAACAACTCATCTCTCCGAATTCGTACATAGACAATCATTATCACCTACAAATAATGCATTTCTTTCTTCCTATTGCATTGGTCAAAACCTCAGAAAAATGTTTAAGACTACAGGACAAGATAAAGAATATCCAGCTTTAATGCAGTAAGGCAAGCATGTGCCCATTGGTGCTAGTTGGTATTTTTTTTTTTTTTTTTTTTTGAGACAGAGTCTCACTTTGTAACCCAGGCTGAAGTGCAGTGGTGCAATTTCAGCTTACTGCCACCTCTGCCTCCTGGGTTCAAGTGATTCTCCTGCCTCAGCCTCCCAGGTAGCTGGGACTGCAGGAATGCACCACCATGCCCAGCTAATTCTGCATTTTTAGTAGAGACCAATTTTACCATGTTGGCCAGGCTGGTCTTGAACTCCTAATCTCAGGTGATTTGCCCGCCTCGGCCTCCCAAAGTGCTAGGATTACAGGTGTGAGTCACCACACCCACTAGTTGGTATTCTTAAAATACCCTATCATTTTTAAAGAAATTTTCTTCTATCCTATTTTACTACATGCTATGAATCAGGAAAGAGTGCAAAATTTTACCAACTGTTCTTAGCCTCTATCGCTATATTTGTTTTTCACTCTGACTCTTTTATTTAATGAATTATGCTAATAGATTTCCTAGTGTTCAACCCATTCTTACATTTCTGAAATAAACTCTGCTTTATCACGTTCTCTTATTTTTTTTATCAAATGAAACCCATGCTGGGTTCTATTTGTTAATCTTTTATTTAGGATTAAAATGTATTTATAACCAATAAAATTGGTCCATTGTTACTGATTTTTGTGCTTGTCTTAACAAGTTTTGGTATCAGAGTAATGCTAGCTTTGAGGACTGAACAGTAGCATTTTAAGTGTTTGAGGGATTAGCTCTTCCTTGAACTTGGGAGTGAATTTTTATAAAGCAGGTTTAACTAGAAAGGTTAGGGCCAGGTTCTCAATCTTTTGTGAAGTTGGAGCTATCCTTTGTTTTTATGAAGATGTGGGGTTGCCTGAGCTAGGAGAGTGGGATGGAAACAACTGGTTTGAGTACATACTGGGTGAACAGTTCCTTAAAATATACTGATCTTGGGAGGCTGAGGCAGGTGGATCACAAGGTCAAAAGATCGAGACCATCTTGGTCAACCTGATGAAACCCCGTCTCTACTAAAAATACAAAAAAATAGCTGGGCATGGTGGCGCATGCCTGTAATCCTAGCTACTCGGGAGGCTGAGGCAGGAGAATTGCCTGAACCCAGGAGGCGGAGGTTGTGGTGAGCCGAGATCGCGCCATTGCACTCCAGCCTGGGCAACAAGAGCGAAAGTCCGTCTCAAAAAAAAAAAAAATATATATATATATATATATACTGATCTACCCCAAAGTAACATGAAGGGAAGTGAAAACAGCTATATAAATTTTAGTGATTTTTTTTCTTAATTTTACTGCTTTAGGACCACTGAGTTAAACAGCATGTATTAGAATGGCCCTTAATGATTATTTAGCACACACAAAGTATTTAAAATTTTTTTAATAAATGGCCACTATTCTAAAACCAGGAAATTTCAAATTTAATAATACGGACCTCCAGGTTTGCTTTCACACTGTATTCCCATATGTCAGCAACGGGCTGCAGCCATGTTGAGTCCTTTGGACTGGGAATAGGCTGTCAGTCTCATTTAAATTACCTCCCTAGGCCCTTTTAGGTATTTGGGCTTATACCTAATGAGACACCTCTTATTTTGCTGAGGCAACATAAGATCTAGGATTTTCTAAAATATCCTCACAGAAAACAACCTTACCAATCTCACCCATAATTTTCTCCAGAGTGAGCTCCATCATTGTAGCCCAAACTCTCATGGGTTTTAGCAGATTACAGCAGTTTCCCCTTATCTGCAGGGAATACATTCCAAGACCTCTAGTAGCTGCATGAAGCCACAGAAAGTAACCAACTCAGAATACACTGTTTTTTTCAATCTGATAACCAAGACAGCTACCAAGTAACTAATGGGCAGGTAACATACAGGCATAGCTCAAAGGTATTTCCAGTCCACTTCCAGACTATTACAATAAACAAAATATTACAAACCAAGTCATACAAATGTTTTGCTTTCCAAATGCATATAAATCTTATGCTTATACTATACTGCAGCCCAGTAAGTGTACAATAAATAGCATTATGTCTATAAAAATGCACATATCTTAACTTAAAAATACTTTATTGCTAAAAAACGCTAACAATCAGCTGGGCATGGTGCCTCATGCCTATAATCCCAGCACTTTGGGAGGCCAAGGTGGGCAGATCACTGAGGTCATGAGTTCAAGCCTGGCCAACATGGTGAAACCCCATCTCTACTAAAAATACAAAAATTAGCCAGGCGTGGTGGTGGGTGTCTGTAATCTCAGCTACTTGGGAGGCCGAGGCACAAGAATCACTTGAACCTGGGAGGCAGAGGTTGCAGTGAGCCAAGATCATGCCACTGCACTCCAGTCTGGGCG